TAAACTTGACTTTATTTTTTATAAATAATGAGGAGAGAAAAAAGAAATCGAGTGACAATCGTTCCAAACAATATTTTTTATTTTTCGCACCATGATTTAATTGGTAGTGAGATGAGAAGCAAAAAGATGTCAAATTAAAACAAATTATTTTTTTAAATTCTTTTTTAATTTAATTACTGTACGCAAACTGGTTTTTCTTATTTCTCTTAAAATACTAAAATATGTTATAGCATTTTAAGATTTTAATAAGTACATTAAGTGACATTTAAAGTTTTAATTAAATACAGAGAAATACCAAATAAGCTAAATGATTTTTTTTAGTCTTAACGTTTTGAAATATTTATGCGTTAGGGAAAAGGGGCAGAGGGAGGCTTTATTTTGAAAAAAAAAAAATGCTTACGTACACGGAGGGTAAAGGGGGGTCTTCAAAAGCGTACAGGTTCGTACAATGGGGAAGGGGTCCTAAATCAGTAGTTTTACTGCGTACGTACTTTATGGATGCTCCCTAACTACAAACACTTTTTAACTTAATTTAATGGGGTTCAAATCTGAAATTTTTTTTTATACACAGTTATGAATTAAAAAAAATTTTTTAACACAGTTAGTGGTTAAGTAGCCCAGACGATGCCGCCGTATACGCAACATTTCCATCCGGATAAATTTTGTATCGAAAAAAAAAAATAGGTCTTATCTCAGAGCACCGTGGAAGAGCATTTAACTAGGTTAACTAGAAAGCTCAAATCTACTTCCTTACGAACGTCGCTTATCTAGCCAGAGTATCGTACCTTAAACTTCATGGTTCTTAGCCAGAACTCTAACCAATGGTTACCAATAAGTATTAATATAAGTTATTTTTAAAGCAAATTAAATTAAAATAATTAAAATTAAATCAAAATTAAATTAAATTAAATCAAAGTGTGAATAAAGCCATTAAAGTTAAACTTCATATTTTACTTGTTTTGGAGTTATTTGAAAGATTTAGTTTACCCAAGGATGTATTAATAGATGGACGCTTAACATTGCTATAGATCTAAGGCGCCGCGATTCAACAAAAACCTATGCGACCTATAATTTTTAGCGTAATTTTTCTGAATAGTTTAAGAAAGTATACCGACGTTTTTCCGAAATTTTTGCTTTTCAAACTACTTTTTTTAAAAAGTGCAATTACCTATAAAACTCTAACTTTTTTTTTAAATTAATAAGTTATAGTTAATCAGAAATAGTTAATCTGTTTTAAAATGTCAAATTTCACACGTGAACAATTTTTATTAAGAACTTATCATTAATAAAACTTAGACGTCAAAAATAATATTTTTGTTAAAAAGTGATATGTAGTTTGCAAGAATGAATAGTGAAAAGTGAAACGAATTTTCTAGATGTTGTAGGTAAAACTGTAGATCATTTATAGATCCAACTATAGATTACTTGTGGTCTCTATTCCCTACACTTAGTTTTCACTATTATTTTAAGTATTTAAATTTCTCATTTTTGTCGGAAATTTTGTCTCACTTACAATTTTGTTTTGATATTTATCTATAATTAACTTTTTATTTCCATGTAAAGAATTCTCTTGAGTTTATAGATCATATAATGAAAAGGTTTTATTTATTTAAAAACGTTTTAGAATTTTCAGGTGATATGGAATGTTTAAATATTTTTTAGGCTAGGCGAAACTATCGCTGTTTTGACGTAAAAATATTCTCAAGTTAAAAATAGTTAACATCTGTTCTCTATTGTTTTGCTTTTATTATTTGTAACAATGAATAACGCGGATATCTTGGCTTTTAAACAATACGTTAAACGTCCATCTATTGTATTAATAGTCCTTGGTTTACGTGAGAAAATCGAAAACTAAAAATTTTTCAAACAAGTTGATGAAATAGTTTTTGTACTATTTTCAGCTAGACTTATATTTATCGATAAGTTTCATAGTATTGTCTCTCAGCGTTCAAAAATTGTATCCATATAAAATTTGCAAAATTTTTATATGGTCACGTATAAAATTTTATTTTCACGTGCAAATTTTATATGGTCAAAATTGTGACCATATAAAATTTGCACGTATTAAGAAAATGGAAAAAACTCAGTCTGATAAAGTTAATTCATTAGAAGACCAAATAACCTTCTTGTTACATGACAACAAACTGTTGAATGAAAGAGTTAAATTATTAAAAAAAAAAAATTTGAAAAAAGTGTCATTTCTGAAAAATTTAAAGACTCCTAAAAAATCTTTAACAAATTATTCAAACTCAAAAATAAACCAAACATGCCTAAAGTTGATGTTTTAAGTGCAGTAAGTGTTGAGCAAAGTGCTATTAAAAAAAAAGAAAAAAATGTCATGGCTTTTGGAAGAATCAAGTAAACTGCTTAGGATTGAAAAACAAGCTGATGATATATAAAGTTGAAAATTATGAAATAATAATTTAGATTGGGAATTTATATTTGCCAATATGAATATCAATGAAGCTTATGATTTTTTTTGTTATACATTCCATAAAGATGTTAAAATGAAGTACAATCCTTTAAGCGCAATGTTACAAAAAAACAACAACAAGACAGTACAAAACTTCGAACACAATTTCCTTCGAGCAAAAAATGCTAAAACAATTCCAAAATATTTTGTACAGATATATTAAATCCAAGCAAGAAATAAAAAACTTCATTAATACCATCGAATTCAAGAGGAATATAATGACAGATCCAAAAATTATTATAAAACACATAAATCAATATTGTCAATCAGTTTTTGTTCAAAGTGCAGCAAATGAGTAGTTACCCAGATCGAAGAACTAATATTATAGACAATATATATTTAGACAAGTGTGATGTTTTAAACAAACTATTAAACTTAAATACAACAAAATCAAGCTTTTGATGCTGTTGAACATGAAAAATTACTTCTAAAGTTATTGGCTAATGGTATAAATTTAAGTTTGTTAAATTGGATCAGAACATTCTTATCATAGTTGTTAACAAGGCCAAGATAGTAAGCAAGGCCAAGATTGAGTATAAAATTTTCGAGGCCAAGGCCTACGCAAACACTTTCAAGAAAAAAGACTTAAATTTTTGCCTTACGTTAAAGCCAATCATTAACAAAACTGTAGGTAGAAAGTGTAGTGATAACAAAATCACATGTTGTGAAATTAGAACAAGGTAATGCGCAGAATTTAACATAGACAATAAGAAAATACACTTGTAAATATATATGAAAGCCAGAAAAAAAAAAGTAAAAAAAAAAAAATAAAGAATGAAAACTTTTAATTCTTAAATTTTATGTATATTTTTTTGAAGGTTTTAGGCGAAAATAATCAAAGCTAAAAGTTTCAAGGACAAGGCCTTAATTTTTGGCCTTAAGGCAAGGCTGAGACCAAGGCCAAAGACTGACAACTCTGTTTCTTATCAAGTATAAGTGAAATAGTTATATAAGATGATGTTAATTCATTATGTTTAGAAGTCAGTGTAGAAGCGTTGTCCCAAAAGGATCCGTTCTTGATTCTTGGCTTTTGTTTAAGCTTTTCATAAATGAATTGTGTTTTTTACTCAAAAATCCATCCAAGCTATATGCGGATGATAGCAAAGTTATTGCAATATTAGATGAAAAAAGTAATATTTCCAAGCTATAAAATGATAGTGACATTATAGAAGAATGTTCTAAAATATGGTGATGAAATTAAATTAGATAAATGCAAGGTTATGCACATTGGAAAAATAAATTAAAAATATTTATACACTTTTGGGCGAGGTGAATTTAAACAAGCACTTAGCACTACTGAGTTGGAAAAAGATTCAGAAGTAACAGTTTCGCGAAAATTAAAATGGGAAATTAAATTAAATCAGCAGTAGCCAAAGCAAATAATAGACTGAGTCTATTGTTGAAAATATTTAAATAAAAAACCAAATCAACTTTTAGATAGTTATACATAAGCTATGTAAGACCATACCTTGAATATGCAATTCAAGTTTAGTAACCTCATATGGAGAAAGATATAAACATCCTTGAAAACATACAAAGACGACATCTATCATATGAAAAACAATTATGCTCTTTAAATTTAATAATTCTATCAGAAAGAATAAAAAGAGGGTATTTATTTCAATTCTTTAAATGTTATAAAAATAATATGCTAGAAAAAATTGATAGGCTGTTTCCTCCTAAAAAATTATAAACTAGCTGTTTTAAGAAGATTATCACACGATTACTGATGCCTATTTCAAAAATGATCTTCGAGAAAATTTCTTCACAAACCGAGTGTTAAAATTATGGAGCAAACTTCCTACTTCAGTTGTTGAATCGCCGTCCGTTAATGAGTTTAAATTGAATATAGACAAGCTATGTTTTGCAAGCTAATTATTAGTTTTATTTAAATTATTTTATAAAATCATATAAATCATATTTTATATAAAGTCATAGGTTGACATGGCGTTAACCCTCAACAGATAATGTGTTATTATTATTTTTAAAAATTACATAATAATAGATATTAAAAAAAGTTTTACTCTAATGTCCTAATGCACCATTTTCAAAATATAAGTGACGTTAAGTTGTTTTTTTTTTTGAAAAATATGGCTACTTTTACTGTTAATTCAAATTTTGAAGTTCCAGACAAAACTTAAAACCCCAATTATTGATGGTAAAAAGAGATGTAAAAAGAAGATGTTAAAAAATAATGGAAAAAAGAGCCTCTGGAATAATTATTGAAAAATAATTTTGAATAATGAATGATAATAAATAGTAAAAATTTCTAAATGTTAAATTCAAGAATCGCTAGATTTTTATTTGTCCCGAATGCTTTGAATTTTATATTACCTTATCTTGCTCTGAGTTCTTGATCTACTTAAATGAGAAACGGGCTGTTGATTATAATGGTTGTTATTGGACAGAAATTTAAAGTGTTTTGATTTGAATAGATAAGCCGTTAACAAAAATATAATTTTTGCTTTTATAGTTATATTTTTATATTTCTAGCTTACATGACAACAATGTACATGTTTGGTACTGAAGAGTCGGTCAGCGGATGTCTCATATATCAACAACATTATTAAAATTGGGAGCTTGAGACAAAAAATGAAACCTCTAATCTTAAATCAAAATTATATGTTTAAAAGTATTCATTAGTTTAAGAGAACTAAACTCTCATGGATCCTGAATTTGTGCAAGACCTACAAGATCCTGATTACGTTGAAGCTTTCATAAAAGAATGGAACGAAAGTCGTTTAGATATGTTTGCCCTCAGTCCACCAAACGAGGTTTGTAAATATACATGTTTCAGCATGATTTCATAACTTTTGAAAATTTTTTATTACTTTAAGCGTTAGAGTAAATGAATTTTTTATCTCATTTTTACTTAAGTTTGATTTTTCATTAAATTGTTCTTTAAACACGACCACTCTTTAATCAAAAATAAATACATTGCAAAAGCATAATAATAAATTTTTTAATAAAAGAATATAAATAATAAACTTTTGTAAAGTATGTAAAGCTGATTATTAAAACAAGGTTTCCGAAAAAATATCTTGATGTATTATATACCTTGATATCAATCTTATATGAGCAAGCAAATAATAATTTAAAATGTCAAAATATTTTGTTCAAATTTAAAAATGATACTGTGACCTAAAAGAGTAGTTTTGCAGGATACAGAGTAAAATAAGAAAGAATAATTTTATGTTTTTATTTTTTTGTCTCATTTTCAGGGATAAAAAAAATCTTTTTTTTATGTGTAGTTTATGTTCTAAATCACTGAAAGAATTCTAGCTATAATTACTGAGTAATTTTATACATAAATTTTTTTTCTATCTATAACTATTGGGTAATGTTACAAAATATTGGTGTAAAATCATTTTATTATTTGTGATAAAGTTTTAATAAAATTAATAAGTTTGTTTCTCTTAACAAAGATTAAATGAACACTTAGCATTTTTTAAACTTTTATTTAGTATATACATATTATTTACTAAAATAATTAATTATAAATTAATTAAAAATACAAACAATATTCTAAAGTTCTACATACTTTTAAGAACATAACTGTAAAATGATCTAAAATGTAATTAGATCTTTCTACAGTAATTTTGGCCCCGGTCAAATATCAACCCCGGTTGTTTACTAGCCTAATAACAACCCTAATTCCAAGGGTTGGAAAAAGATTAAAAAATAATAAATGTTAGGATGCCATACATCTGGCTTTTACTGGGGAGAACAGCTCTACAGCTGTTACAGCTCCAAACCTGTAAAAAAAATTTTTTTATTGTGTTCTCCTTTGTAAAAGCCAGGCGTCTGGCAACCCTAATAATATAAAACTTATAAAAATATGATAAAAATGCAAAGTTCTAAAAAGATCAATAAGCTTATTTAGATCTATAATTTTAAGTTTAGTTTTTTTAGATAAATCATAATCATTATTGAGGGTATTTAAAATAATTTGTATGCTTCCTAACTGGTACAGATGTATATAAGTTTACAACATAAGATACTTGTACCTCAGTAGATGTTACATTCCAGGACTTTGTTTTTTTGACAAATACATACATATTTTTTAATCTTGTTACATTTTTATCAAGTGTTGGTTGTATAATTTTTACCAGTATTCGAATAACTAATAACTTGTTGCTATAGTTGAGATAAAAATTCTTATTGGATAGCCTTTAACTTTGTGTGTTTTTATTGCACCATAAATGTGTGAAGGATAACTTGAATAAAGATGCTTATATTTACTTTTAATAAACTGCTTTTTTTTATAAAGTTCTCTGAGTATGGTCTGAAACATCTGGGTAACTTTTAGTGTCGGATCATTTGTAATTACTGTTGTACTTCCTATTTGTTCTCTTATTTTTAAGAGCAAATATGTAGTTTTAATTTGTACTAGACCAGAGCCCTTATCGAAAGGATAAATTTGTGATCTTTTACCTCCACGCATAAATGGCGCAATAAAAACACACAAGCCAGATATGGCTCCTCATTTAGTAAAGTCTCAAAAACTTTTACTTATCTATTTTTTTTTTCAATACCAATTCTTTGCAGTTTTCTCTTTGTGTTGCAGCTATCCAATGAGAATTATTGTCTCAACTATAGCAGGGTGGCCACAGCTCCTCTAAAATCCTTTAAAGCTCTCTTTTTTCTAAAACCTCTAAAATCCTCTATTATCCTCTAAAAGTTAAAAATATCATAAAATCTCCTCTTTAACTCCTCTTTTTTATTATTTTTTATTTCTTAATGGTAGTATAATGTTTCAAAAGTCTGCAAAACTGCATAATGTCTGAAATGAGAATTAAGTTGTAAAAAATCAATTTTAGCAAATCCATGTTATCTAACAAAAAATGACATTGTTGACCTCTGTCCAAACCCCAGTTATGTGGAAACATAGGCATTAATCTTGAAAAAAAATCCTTCAAAATCCTCTATTTTTATTCAAAATTTTGTAGTTTTGTGAAAAAAATCCTCTAAATTAAATGCAAAATCTCTAAAATCCTCAAATATCCTTTTTTTCTTATCAAAATTAATGTACCAAAATACCTGGGAAAAATTATACAACCGACACTGATAAAATGTAACAAGATTGAAAAATGTGTGTGTATTTATCCTGGAATGTAACATTCCTTGCTTGGATGCTTATTAATCTTTGTTTCCAAAATTACTATTTTGTCTGGGAAGGAGTCTATCACCAATTAGAAAATTTAGGACCAATTGGTTTTGCTTTAATGGTTGTTATATTGAATCTTTTCTGCAACACCATGAATCAAATGCTATTGCCACTGCGTTGAATGATAATATTAATATAAAATCTTTTTTTACAATATACAGATGACAGTCATATATAAGTTGAATCAATTCAACAAGCTAACAAGTTACTTGATATTCTATTAACAAAATACCAGCCCTAAATACACATCTTCACTTCCAACAAGGCTGCAAACAACCACTAATTAGTGTTGGAAGTTACTGGAAGTAACTTCCAACACTAATTAGTGGTTGCTTGAAAAGATTAAGATTGTAGAGCAAGATAACGATTGACAGATGACTTAAAAGATTGCAAATTATATGAATCAGGAAAACAAGATAAAGGAAGTGACTTCCAAAGAACTGGTGTTCGAGGGAAAAACTAGACGAATAAGAGTTTTTGGAGCAATTAGGAACAGTAACAGAAAAAGGATGAGACTTAATTGAATGACGAGTAACACTAGGATGAACTTTAGTAGATGGCACAAGAGACACTAGCTCTTTAGATCAGTGCTCATTATAGTATTTGTAAAAAAGAGAAAGAGAAGCAACATTACGATGATGTGACAAAGGTTGAAGGTTGGCTGCAAGAGCATCTCCAACTATGTTTACAATGCGTTTTTGCACCTTGCCTAAAAGAGAAAGGGCATCTTTAGAAGATCCGCCCCAGATATGGCAAAAGTATTCCATACAAGGCTGGATTTGAGATTTATAGAGATAGAGAATAGAATCCAGAGTAAGAAAGTGTCGAGCTCAATAAAGAGATGCAACTTTAGCAGATGCTAATTTTGCAACGGATTTGATACAAGGTTTCAAAGAAAGATCAGAAATAGGAGTTAATCTCAGATGATGAAGAGTAGATGACTCATAGAGTACATTACCGTTCATAAATATAGGAAGGTCTAAATTATTGCCATAATGATTGGGTGAAAAAAATTGAGTTTTATCTGAATTAAAGTTCACTAACCACTGTGAGCCCCATGCTGGAGCAGAAGTGAGATCCTTTTTAAGCTCAAATGCCCCCTGCAAGCAATCAGAGTTAGTTGGCTTCTTATCATGACAAGAATAAATGATAATATCAAATGGTATTAAATGCTCAAAACACTTGTTCTTCTGAAAAAAAAATTATAAAGTGTTTTCTGAAAATGGTAACAAAAAATACATATTAAAACAAATAGTTCAAAAATACTACAGTAGATACCTGGGATAAGCGCGAAACTTGGAAAAAATTTATCAAAATTTTGTTTTTTTTTATAGAACTTTTTTTAAATCTAATTCTAATTTAGAAACAATGTTAACAGATAAACAGGTCTGTATGACCAGGCTTCATCAAACCAGGTGTTTATAAACTAACTTCTAGTTATGGTAAATATTATGTAGGTGAAACTGGTTTAAAAATATCCACACGGTTTTTATATCACCTAAAATCGGTTCATGATGGAAAATGGAGTAATTCTGGTGTATCAAACCATTAAAAATTTTGTCAGGGAAATATTTACTGGACTGGAGTTTTAATGTCTGAAAAAAAATTAAAAAGGCTGGTACACGCTACCCAGTGGGAAAGAATTTGGATGATGGTCAATATTTAAAAACAGGTTTTTGGAAACCAATGATGCCTTTTATTCAGATAAAAAAAAATCTAGTTTTATAGTCTGATGATGAGACTGTCTAGCGGTCGTAAAATACTATATATAAATAAATAATATAGTTGCTGTGAGTGTCTCTATAAATAGAAGTAATTTAAAATAATTTGTAGCAAGATTAGTTTCCGAAGATGGTTTTGTAGTAGGTGGAATATAAAACAATCAGTTTCTGATTAAGGTTATAACTTTCTAAAAAATCTATCAAAAGTAACAAATTTATTAATTTCTTATTTAAAAGAACAAAAAAGCCATAACAATTCAAAGTCTTGCTTACTGCATGCAATTCATAAATCATGCTAATAATCTGGCTGTGATGGATACTTTCTACAAGTGAGAAAATAGATTTTCATGAAAAAAATCTTGTAAAAAGCATCATGCTTTACAACATTCTGCTTGTACAGATAACCTTTAAAAAATATGTACTTATTTAAGGTAACAAATAAACCTTAAGTGAGTAAATATTCAATTATACATATAACCTTAAGTAATGTTCAGCTATACATATAACTGCACTCTCATGAAGTGAAGTATGATGAGAAGTTTTTCTCATCATAACTGACTCTAAATCCAAAATTTGATAATGATTATGATGAAAGATTATTTTCATCAATGCAATGTTTAGTACAAACTACATAGGCATAACAGGCCTTGTACATGTTCCAGAAAATAAAACTTGTGATATTGAAACCTTCTTTAAAGGTGCCTAAACTAGTCCATTTGCAAATGCTTTTAGTAATTAATATAATAAGTTTCTTCAATGTTAAAATTTTTAGAAGGATATGCCTTGGAATTGTGAGCATGATTCTTTGTGATATTTTTCAAAGCTGTCAAAACAACATGCTCCCTTTTGTCATTTTTTAAGATTTTTAAGCTTTTGTATTCAGCTG